ATATCTACATGCGTGTACATGTTGTTGCCATATGTTATTTAGCATATATATCAATATATATCATATATATATATACATATATATATAATATATATATATATATATATACAGTGGAACCCTGTATATACCCTGTGGTAGCCATGTACATATAACTCCGATATGGATCCCAACCATCGCGTTATAATGGGGCTACACTGTATATAATATCAAGAGCGTATAAAGAAGGTTATCTGCTTCTTTATCTGCTCTTGATAATATATACATACAAAACGTGACTAATCACCCAACGTTCGGTGAGGGGTAGGACGTGGCGCCGGTGAGTGTAGGACCTGTGCTGCCACCTGGTGGCGGTGTCATGCCGTAACGCCAGTGGCAGCTGGGAAAACATCGGCGGCTGTACTCGCGCACGGAAGTAGTCCGAGATGGCCGCATCGTACTTCCGCGTCTGGCCGGAAGGCCTGCCCGACACACACAGACACGGCGTCACATACACGCATGACACACACGACACGCACGCGAGCATGCACGCACGCGCCGCAAGACACCGCGTTCAGCATACCCGCGCACGCAGACACCCGGCCTCACAACGCACGCACGCAACACGCGTATGAGTGGCACACTACGCACGCACGCACGCAGACACCGGTCACATACGCACGCACGCACGCACGCATCGCACGCAGACACGGTCACATACGCCACGCCACGCAGGGACAACGGGTCACATACGCACGCACGCCGCAGACCACCGGTCACAATACGCACTGTAGCGCTATGTTAATTAGGGGCACAGTTATAGAGCGGAAGGGAAATATGATCAAGGTCAAGGTAAAGGTCAAATATAGGTCGTAGTGACCTGGTTTTGGTAGCGCTAGGTCAATTAGGGACCGAGTTAAAGAGCGGAAGAAAAATATGATCAAGGTCAAGGTAAAGGTCAAATAAAGGTCGCAGTGACCTGGTTTTGGTATGCTGCGCACCTTCTCCCCAAGATGTGTAAGTATACCAAGTTTGGTAGTGCTAGGTCAATTAGGGGCCAAGTTATAGAGCAGAAGGGAAATATGATCAAGGTCAATGTAAATGTCAAATAAAGGTCGCAGTGACCTGGTTTTAGTACGCAGCCCACCTTCTCCCCTAGATGTGTAAGTAGACCAAGTTTGGTCACGCTAGGTCAATTAGGGGTCGAGTTATAGAGCGGAAGGGAAAATCTCTGCTTCGGACCGAGCGGCGGCGGCGGCTCTACAGACCTGAAACCATAGTATCCCTGCCGACTTCGTCGCGGGAGATACAATTAACCCGGGTTAACCCAAAAACCGTTCGTTTATCTTCCCTAACCCAGATGCGTTCGATTTCTTACCCAGGTTAACCCAGGTGGCTCTGGGGAAGCAAATCGAACGCAGTATAAATAGTGCACACTGAAGTCTATATGCTACCCACTCACATACAATACATCATTACAATTTACATCATACATACATTACATCATTACACCGAACACGTACTGAAGACGGTTCTTTTTCATGGATGATGGAGTCTGGAGAAAAAATCTGATAAATCATAAACACGGAACACGGAACAAGGAATATAAACTCGGCTTCAACTTAGTAAGAATTTTTCAATTGTCAAATAAGTATGGACATACTTAACAGGGAGTCCAGCTTCTCTAATAGCACGAGCAGTTCCTCCAGATGCCACCAGTTGGAAGCCAATATCATGAAGCTGTTTAGCAAAGGTCGTCAGACCTTGCTTGTTTGATACGCTAAGCACCGCTATTAGGAGAAATCGAAAACCAATTACAGATTGAGAAATGATGCGCAGATGCTAGATATGTAATTGAATGAAGTTGTAATGAACGCAAAACACATATTATTTACTGAAAATGACATAATACCAAGTTCTGAACTTTCCGCCATGATGCCAAACATGCGAATGAGAGTGGAGCTCAGTGTGGTAGGCGATTTTATCAACCAGGATTTTATTTGCTGGAATCTTGGTCCATTTAAACAAATTAACAACTGAAAAATACAATGAGACAAAAAAAGAGGTTAACGAAGAACATTTAAAATTAATTAAAATAAGAAAAAAAAGCTTAAAATGCTTAAAACAATAAAAAGCGCTATTCAGTGAGCTGAGTAATAAGAAAAATATCAGCATGACGTCATAAAATGGCGGCCTCTACGAATCCAAAGACTTCAATAGTAACTTTACAATTTGTCGGTAAAGAAAATATTGCAGAACATATCATCAATATAACTGAGCGGAAAGCAAGTATGTATCCGTATGACTATGAGTGTCGTTAATGTTACCCGCGACAATTGTCGCCGCTGCTGTGGTAAAATTCGTAGCTAGTTGACAGTTGACGTTCAACATCGGAGACTGGAGTCGAGTTGTGTCACTAGCTAGTTGAAGCGCTTTCGTGGCCCAGTGGTTAGGCCACGTATACTGTCGCTCATATAGGGTCTATGTCCCCCAGGGTACTGCCGGAACTAGCTCTAGTACTATAGCCCGCGTTCGATTAACTGCCGCAGGGTTATAGGACCAGCCATTACGAATGCTCGGGACCAACTTAAGGCCAAGACAGTCACACACTGCAGCGACAGCGACCGACCGTAACGACAAACGACTTTTAAGAAAATTAGAAACTATTGTTTCCTATGAGTCATTGCACACACACGCGACAACGACCGGCTACAACCTCGACGACAAAAATATTTAGGAACGTTTCTATTTTCCAGCGACAGTCGCCAGCGACACATTACAAATAGCCAATCGCAGCCGTTTCCATCGGCACGTGACATTACGATTACGTCCTAAATAACCCATAATGCTAGCTAAGATGTAGACTGGTCTCCGGCGCTAAACTCGCGATGCATGTCACAACAATGAGGCCGCGAACCAGTCTAACCAAAGCGTGCAAGCTGTGGCATGCTAGACACAGTACGTACAGTACATGATAATTTGCTGCGTATATTTTACTTTATTATCTTATCAGATTATCCTTATGCCTAGAGAGTTTTTGCAGCCTGTTATTTAAAAGTGCAGCAGCATGAGTTTGAACCGGTTGTTCATGTGATGATGTGTACCACTGTGGCGAGTGCTGGGTGAACTTTGACATAACGTCGGTCGCTGTCGCTGCAGTGTGTTTGCGCCAGTCGCCGCGATCTTTGTTGTTAGCTCATCTGACATAGTCAGATGCAGCTTGTAAAATCGCATGATCGTCCGTCCGTCCGTCCGAGCGTCCGTCCGTCAACAGGTGGGCACAAATCTTAACCGCTCGACGTACGGTCACGATATTCGGGACGTGGGGGATAATCCGAAAACGAGTTGGGATGTCGAAGCTGGGGGTCAAAGGTCAAAGGTCAAGAGGTGTAAAAGAAGGGGGAACATTCCTCCTTAACTTAAGGTATAGGGACGAAATGCAGAATTGGCGGCACAAATCTAAACGATCGACCCTAAAGGCTCGTGATAGTCGCGGTGTATAGCATCATGGTAGGGAAAGCCATCGACTGTGCGAATTGGAGGTCACAGGTCAAAGGTCAATGCCACAGGGCAGATTTAGGCATTTTCTGAGGACGTGGTGTGACGGAGCGATTGGAAAAACTTTTTGTTTCAGGCGGTGACCTAGCATTTTTATGGCTTTATTGAAAGGACCATGAAATATGCTTTCCACTGACATGCGAAGAGTAAGTGTCGGATAACCTTTTGACCTCAAGAGGAGGGTTAAACATTGATTGGTTGACTGTTAACAAAGGACTAGAACTGCTTTTGCTATTATTAGAGCCCATACCTTTTTCAATGTGAGCTACAGTTGCACAGTTTTAATTGCAAAGGCAAATGTTTGTTGAAACAAGCTTTACGCTCCTTTAATCATATGATTTCTAAAAGCAGTCTGTCTATAGCACCCTGCCCCTGGGCCTGAGGGCTGAATGATGAATCAGTGAATGCTGCCATGAGGCAAAAACACAGGCAGCCATGGCTGGCACGCTTCTAATGACATAATTGTTGCCTGCCAACCTGCAATGCACCTGTTACTCAGGCTGAGCCAAAAATATACACCTGCCTGAATATACTTACTTGGATTTTAGGCCTGTACCTACTGTAGGATTTCAGGAACGATGCATCTTTGATTATTGATTACACTTGCACGGCGCCATCTCGCGCAACTATAGCCTAGTTTAAATTAGATTTTTATTCTCATGTAACTTTGTTAAACGAATAAATAATAACTAGTACCATATAAATTATAATATTTACTTTTCACTTTTGAATCTTAACATATATCATGTAGCTATGGCCGTGCGTATCCATTTCACCAAGTTGTGGCGAACATAAGCTGTTACCATAGAAATATTAGAGACACTATATATTATGATTTCTATGACTGTTACACTCAGGGGGCATAGGAAGAAAGCATTATTGAGGGGACAGTAAAGGCATCATCGCTGGGTTTTAATTTTTTAGCTCATCTTGACATAGTCAGAATGCAGCTTGTAGATCGCATGATCGTCCGTACGCGTCCGTGCCGTCGGAGTCCGTCGTCCGTTCTCGTCCGTCGTCAACAGTTGGGCACAAATCTAAACGGCTCGACGTACGGTCACGATATTCGGACGTGGGGGGGGTAATCCGAAAACAGTTGGGATATCGAAGCTGGGGTCAAAGGTCAAAGTCAAGAGTGTAAAAGAAGGGGAACATTCACTCCTTAAACTTAAGTATAGGGAGAAATGCAGAATTGCGGCACAAATCTAAATGGCTCGACCTAGGCTCGTGATAGATTGGTGTATAGCATCATGTAGGAAAAGCCATCACTGTGCCGAATTGGAGGTCACAGGGTCAAAGGTCAATGGCACAGGGGCAGATTTTAGACATTTTCTGAGGACAGATGGTCTGACGGAGCGATTGGAAACACTTTTTTGTTTCAGCAGTGACCTAGCATTTTTATGGGCATTATTGAAAGGACCATGAAATCTACTTTCTGCTGACATGCGAAGAGTAAGTGTCAGATAACCTTTTTGACCCTCAGAGGAGGTTAACATGGATTTCTTGACTGGTCTGTTAGAAGAATTTGACTGCCGGGTTTGCTAGTAAGAATCTATACATGCCTGGATGTATGAGGCTACAATGTCAAAGTGAAATTTCAAAGCTAAATTTGGTTAAAGAGAGTTTATGCTTCTTAAATCGTATAATTTCTATGGCATTCTGTACTGGTCAGTATGTTACATGTACCGTATGCCACTGCCAGTGGCTACTGCCAGTGCATGTGTTTGGTGGTACTGTGTATTTTGCCTGCGTTAATTGGTTACAGGTGGCAGCTCTCTATTGCAGCTGTAGGCTTGCGTGAGGTAAATGGATGAGTGCTTACCTATTCTGTCTTGCAAATAGTTGTTGCTACTACAGACGGATGGGAGCTTCCATCTTTAATCTGAGACACTTAAACGTAGCGCGCCATCTGTGCAACTTTCATAACGATCCAACGAACATTCCTTGAGAAGGTTCCTGATACGAATCCCTGTGCATTCACTGTTTCGGCCGTGTATGTGAAGCACGTTTGGGACTAACACGGGTTTACTAGAATCCGCACCACTCCACCACAGAGTCACGCGCAGTAGACGTGAAGATGGAGCGATTGTCGCTCCGGCGGCACTTGTTGTTTATATAATTAAAGAGAGAGAGAGAAAGTCTAAGATAAAGAGAGAGAGAGAGTAGTAAATTGAGACGGGGACAGGAAAACGGCTGATACGGTGCTGGTATGCGAGCGGGGGAAAACGCGGGCGGGTACAATTAGGTCGTTGCGAGATGGTGTGCAAGGAGGTGGAGGCAGGGGGAGGGAGGTCGAGGGCAGGGGGAGGGAGATGGGAGCTAAGGGGTGGAAGTGAAGGCAAGAGGAGTGAAGGTGGGAGGCAGGCTGGAGGGAGGTGGGACGCAGTTGGGGAGGGAGGTAGGAGAGAAGGACTCCCGCCTCCTCTATTAAATTGGGAGATCCATGCTCATATGTTGAAATCTTTTATGATAGATAAAATAGATAGCTGTGAATCTATGACACAAATTCGAAGTGAAAGGCAAGTATCATTTATAAAATAACCAAAATCGCTGGGGGAGATAGTTGAGCGTGTCTAACAATGATGTGTACGCAACTGCGTATCTGCATATCTGCGCTACAAAATGTGTCACTACGCACGACTGAAATTGTACGTTCATAACCCGTAGCAACAGACCCCAAGTGAGCCCAGACGCTCTGCGGCTCTTGTTTGTTGTTACCCTCCGGTCGGTCGCTGTTGCTGCCAGTGTCTTTGCCTTTACTCCAGCCAGTCAGCGGGAACTATGTATTTCCGCACGGTGGAGGGGTGGGCGGGTTTGTGTTTGGTTGTGGACAAAAACATTGTTGTTGTCAAGTAACAAATTAATAATAGTAATTTGTTCATCTTTCATGACAAAACTAATATTACATCTTTTTTGATCGCTTAAAGCGCGCACCAATGCGCATCTAAACGCATATTTCTTCAGTCTAGACTAGCAAATACTTCGTGTCGTGCATAATCATACTACCTTATGCGCAAAACTAAACTTAGCTCTCTAGCTCATCGTTGACTGCGGCGTTCCGCAACAAGAAAAGAGGTGGGAAATCAGGTAATCAGGCGGCCAACGCTAAATTGTTTCAAACACCAATAACATCGAAGTGGTGAACGTGACGTCAACGAACTGTTTTTATATCTTTGCTGCGGGGCCCAGTAACGCAGCTGTACCGGCACCCGCTGCACGGATTCAGCCTTGAGATTGGGAACTGTCAACAACATCGGAGTTATTTGTTCAAATACGCTTTTATAAGACAACTGCGCAGTGAAATTTA